ATTAAACCCAAAAGAAAAGTTTCTGCTTTTATTTTTTATATTCCCTTTAAGAATCTTCTGTATTAGGACATGAATCCTATTCCAATATTTCTGAGAAAACTATGTTCAAGAACACAGAACAATGTAAAAAATGTAAAGAATTTTTTTTAGCCCATTTCTTTAGATGATGGTAGTCTGAAGTCGTTTTCAAAAATTCTAGTTGTTTTTGATGAAAAATTTTAAAGCAAGTGTAATGACAAAGAAGCTCTTCATTTTTCTAACTGCTGAAAGGAAAGGCCATGTTATTTGGCTCCAATGTGGTAAACTAGGAGTAGAGGGTGAACAATGGAGCCATATGGAGCCTGCTAGAATATACTTTCTGAGAGTAAAGCAATAAAAGAAATGGAAGTCTATCCAAGTTGGCCAATGTAGACCCAGTTCTACGTATAAGCCTTCCTGATAAGGTCCTTGTAGTCTTCAAGGAAAACAACTCTCTAATTACCCTATCCAGTCTTGAAATAACTTTACCTCAGAAATTGGTTCCTAAGGTTCTCCTGTCAGAACATATAATCACTGCTTAAGAAATATGATAAATATACACCACTGCACCTGACAGTCTTTGAGGATAACCATTGAGAGGACCGAGATTATGGCTAAAGAACAACACATTCCTGGAATCTGAAAATGTGTACACAGGTAGTCCTTGACTTACAACCATTCGTTCAAAAGTTACAATGGCACTGAAAAAAGTGACTTAAGCTTGTTTTTCACACTTATGACCATTGCAGCATCCCCATGATCAGGTGATCAAAATTCGGATACTTGGCAACTGGCTCGTATTTATGAGGGTTGCAGTGCTCTAGAGCAGAGGTCCCCAACCTTTTGGGAACCAGGGACTGGTTCCGTGGAGAGAGGTTTTTCCACAGACCGGACAGTGTGTGGTTTTGTGTGCTGCCTGCATCCCATGGATGGGGTTTTGCTTATTTGTGCGGACCGATTGCTGGCATGCCGCGGCCCGGTACTCGTCCATGGACTGGGGGTTGGGGACCCCTGTTCTAAAGCAGAGGTCCCCAACCTTTTGGGCACCAGAGACCGGTTCCGTGGAGAGAGGTTTTGCTGCGGACCGGAGTGTATGTGATTTTGTGTGCTGCCTGCATCCCAAGGATGGGACTTTGCTTGTTTGTGCGGACCTGTTGCTGGCATGCCGTGGCCCGGTACCGGTTCATGGACCAGTGGTTGCTGTCCCCTGACAAGCTATCCCGACAAGCAAAATCAATGGGGGAAAGCCAGATTCATTTACCAACTGTGCTACTACTTTAACAACTGTAGTGATTCACTTAGCAATTGTGGCAAGAAAGGTCGTAAAACTCACTTAACAACTGTCTCACTTAGCAAACAGATATTTGGGGCCCAACTGTGGCTGTAAGTCAAGCACTACCTGCAACCTCTACGTTTGCTACAGCGAACCTGGCTGCTTTATAAAGTTGCCCCTAATTACTGTGCCTTTTGGGGGCAACTTCCAACCTTGTTACTGGCTCATTTTTAATATACTACGCATTCAAATTCAAGATACAGTAGCAGCACAGCGTACCTCATCCAGTCCCGGTTTAGATAGGTAGATGACACTTTTTTGACAAGCTGCATCTGCACAAGCTGGCAGCAAGTGTTCAGTCTGCCCGTCACCATCTGGCAAAACAAGAGGAAGATAAAAATAATTCAGCTTAGCGGGCTACAAAAATGTCCTTTTTATCACTAGGGGAAAAAAACCAACAACTACGCATACACAGAGACAGTAAATGTTTGTAAGATATAAACAAAGGAAGCATCCTGGTAATGAAAGAGAAGTTGTGATCCTTCACCTTGTCAGCCCAATATCTCCCTCTTCTGAGGGTTCAAAAAAAAATAAACACCAAAAACCTGAAACTTTGAGAGGCTGCCACAAGGAAGAGAGATTCAATTTATTTTCCAAAGCACCAGAAGGCAGGACAAGAAACGATGATGGAAACTAATCAAAGAGAGAAACAACCTGGCATTAAGGAGAAACTTTCTAACAGTGAGGATAATTAAACAGGTGGAACAGCTTGCCTCCAGAAGTTGTGGGTGCTGGAGGTTTTTAAGAAGAGACTGGACAGTCACTTGTCTGAAATGATATAGGGTCTCTTGGTTGAGCAGGTGGCTGGACTAGAACAGGACTTTTCAACCTTTTCACCCATTGTACCACTTTTAGGATATGGCAACATCCGAGTACCACCAGTCGCCAAGCAAGGTGTCAAAAACTTGATGACCCCCCCCAAAAAAGGAAAAAAGTGATAAAGTACAGGTAGTCCTCGACTTACAACAATTCATTTAGTGACTGTTCGAAGTTACAATAGCAGTGAAAAAGGGCCCCCCAAGCCACAGCCAAGCAAGACACCTGCCTGCCCACCCAGCCGCGCTCTTCCTCCTGTCCGAGGTTTTCATTGTTGTGAGCATTTCTGTTGAGGATTGGCAGCGGGGGAGGGGTGGGGGGTGTTTGGTTTTTATTCCCCCCGTCTGCTGGGTGGTTGCAGCAGGTTTTGGTCACTTCACATGACCCTGGGACACTGTGACCGTCATAAATATGAATCGGTTGCCAAGCATCTGAATGTAAATCACAAGACCCTGAAGATGCTGCAACATTCCAGCTGATTGGTGCTTCTTCAGGGCTCAGCAGAAGCACCAGGATTAGCGCCAAGCTCCAGCTGGAGCCTGGTGTTGATCCTGGTGCTTCCACTGAGCCCTGACAGCCCTGCAGCTCCAGCCATCTCTCGCTCAGGCTTGTGCGGTGCTGCCACCGGTTCAGCTCATTCCCCTCCCCCACTACCACTTTTCTAGGATGGTCGCGTACCACCTGCCAGGTGCCAATGTACCACAGGTGGTACCCGTACCACTGGTCGAAAAGCCCTGGACTAGAAGACCTCCACGGTCCCTCCCAGCTCTATTCCGATTCTGATTTTGTGGTCAGCTAGGAAGCTTGTTCATCGTACTGTTGTAGAAGAGGCTTATCGCCCAAGTTAAGAAAGGTCATTGGATTACATCAGTAGGGATGAGACTTTAAAGCTGTTTAATAATGAATTCTCAGATGGAATGGCTGGAGCGTTAAAGAGATATTTGTTACTGATCTGGGCATAAAACTCACCAGCTTCACCCAGCCACACATTTTTAGTTTCAACCTCTGCTTGCAGGGTTATGAAGATGTAAAGGGAACTAAGTATATCATTTTTGAGATGCAGGAAGATGCAGGGGGTTAACAAACAGCAGCAAACCAATATAGGTAGTCCTCGACGTACGACCACAATTGAGTCCGAAATTTCCGTTGCTAAGCAAGACAGCTGAGTGAGTTTTGCTTCATTTTTGCCACAGTTAAGCGATTCACTGCTTTTGTTAAGAGAATCGTGTGATCGTTAAGGGAATCGGCTTGCTGCCACTGACTTTTGTCGGAAGCCGGCTGGGAAGGTTGCAAACGGTGATCACATGACCCTGGGACGGTGCAACAGTCATAAGTACATGCCAGTTGCCAAGCGTCCAAATTTTGATCACGTAACTGTGGGGATGCTGCAACAGTGTAAAAACCGGTCACAAGAGACTTTTTTTTCAGTGCCTCTGAACGGTCACTAAATGAATGGTTGTTAAGTCGAGGACTACCTACATTGGATGGCTTTGAGGAAACAGTCCTGGCATCTGTTTTTACAACCTTTCCAAATTCTAATTGTTGTAAAAGCTGAGACAAGCATGACGATCCATGAATGGTTGAAATGGGAAGGAGAAGGAAGGACGGGGGTGGTGCATTCATGATTCAAAGTATGAAGTAACTACATTAATGTCCTGTTATTGTTGGTTTCACAAAGAGCTTAAAGGAAACCAGGATATTATAAATTCCTCTGCTGAAAGGAAAAATCTGCATAGCAACTAATTTAAGGGAAAGAAGTAAGTTTCTTTCTGCAAATATATGTATTTTACAACAATATATAAATATATACCGTATATACTCGAGTATAAGCCGAGTTTTTCAGCCCATTTTTGGGGCTGAAAAATGCCCCCCTCGGCTTATACTCGAGTCAGCGGCGGCGGCGGCGGCGGGGGNGGGGGGGGGGGGGGGGGGGGGGGGGGGGGGGGGGGGGGGGGGGGGGGGTGGGGCGGCGGCCAGGGAGGAACAGCCAAAATGCCCCCTCGGCTTATGCGCGGGTCACCAATTTTTCCCAGTTCTCTGTGGGAAAATCGGTCCCTCGGCTTATACTCGGGTCGACTTATACTCGAGTATATACGGTATGTATTTTCAGGGTTGGGAATATATGGAATTCAGGAAAGAAACAAAATAACAAAATAATTCTTTTGCACCACAACCGGTATTTTTATGTCTTTATCCGTATACTGGTGAAATTTAACTGATGTTTATGAGAATATGCCATAAATATTTTATAGTAGACACGATGCCTCCAACAAGTACTAATTAGCTAACTGATCAGGCAATTAATCAGTAGTATAGTTTGAAGACTGCTAGGCAAACAACTGTAAGAAATTAGAACCCAAACAAAAAAGTATCCTTACATACTGTTACAAAATATCAGCATATTATGAAAAAACACTTCACTATGAAAAGGACTCTAATTAAATACAAGCCATCATGACACAACCATTCAAACAAATACTTTCCGCAGCTATGGATCAACTTGAACCAATAATGAGTGATACTGTGAGCATCAATCTTCAAATGTCTTACATAGCGGTGGAGACCAACGTAAACCCATGCCTATCTCATCATCTCTAAAAAAAATTACCCAAAAAGTTTTCAATCGGTGATATATTTAAAGGGATAAAGATTGTACTTTATGTAGTACAAATAATATATTTATATTTGCAAAAAGGTCATTTGTTTATCCTTTGCTATCTACTCTGAAGCACACACACATACACACACACACATATTTGTTATGGCCTCCTTGATTGCATTCTGTTCTGCTTGCCACCTACTGAGATAACTTTTATGTTCCTATTCGGTTTAATTTTCATTTTAAATAAAAAACCTCCCAGGGCTTTTTCCCTTTTAATTAGGGATGTAAATACCCCAGCAGGTGACAGCGATGGAGACAGGATTACATTAACACCTCATCATCACCTCAATCAACTTTCTGGAGCTTATAAAAAATATGACTGGGTAGCCTTGCCAAGCTTAATAAATGAAAATATTGTAAGCAGATGTTACAATTCAAATATATCACCTACCGAAAGCTGAGATAACGAACAATCGTTTAATGAAAGACGAGAAGGCAAATTTGAGATCTACCCATAAAGAGTTCTCAAAGCAGCTCTATCTATTCATAGAAGAACTGCAGGTATATTATGGTCTATCACACCACACTGATGTATTATCACAAAAGCCATCCAACCTTAAATCAGATGGCGAGGAGAGGGCAGGATGAGGGTCCGGGATTAGAGTCCTAAAAAGACCTGTCGTTTAGTTCAAATATAATGGGGATTTAGTGTTATGTGAAAAGGCTTTCCCCTGGTCAATTCTTCAACTTCTGCATTCTTAAAAATAAAGGTAAAAGTTTCCCTATCAGGCATGTCCGATTCTAGAGGGTGGTGTTCATCTCCATTTCTTAGCCAAAGGAGCCAGCATTGTCTGACACTTCTGTGGTCACGTGGTCAGCATGACCACATCCAAGGCACATAGAAGACTCTTACCTTCCCACCGAAGTGGTACCTATTTATCTACTTGCATTTGCATGCTTTCAAACTGCTAGACGGACAGGAGCTGGAGCAAGGAACAGGAGCTCACCCCATCATGCGGCGCTTGGGTCTCGAACCCCAGCTGTCAGCTTTTCAGCTGATAAGCTCAGTGTCTTTAACCACTCAAGCATCGTGCCCCCTTCTACATTCTTACATGAGAACAGAATCTTCTGTTCCTACTTGAGAAGAACTGTAACTCCTTATAACATTGGTGGGTGTAATTTGTGTTTTCTTTAACCGCTAGTCATCGAATAAGCTTTCCTAAAACTATGATTTGATAGTAGTGTGCTCTGAGGAACCATAATTCATGCTTCAGGCTGTTCAAGACCAGTCATGGTTTGCTCAAAAGTGGCAGCTAATGGTTTCTCCTTTGGGATGGGAGAGAGATAAGAAGACCTACCCTGAAAGCCATTTTCTGCTGTGTCTCAACAACATATCACGTACTGCTAAGCTCTGGTTCGTTTAACTGTAGTTTTGCTGATCACGATGCCTGAATTTTCACCACGAGTAAACTAAAATTCAAATATTCCACAAACTGAGAATTTAGCCAGAATACTAGGAACCCAAACAAAATATTCTATATTTCTATATCCTAAACATGCATAGGCCAGTCCTAGAGGAGATCAACCCCGACTGCTCTTTAGAAGGCCAGATCCTGAAGTTGAAACTCAAGTACTTTGGCCACTAATGAGAAGGAAGGACTCATTGGAGAAGAGCCTGATGCTGGGAAAGATTGAGGGCAAGAGAAGAAGGGGACGACAGAGAAGGAGGTGGCTGGATGGAGTCACTGAAGCAGTAGGCGTGAGCTTAAATGGACTCCAGAAGAGGACAGGAAGGCCTGGAGGAACGTTGTCCATGGGGTTGCGATGGGTCGGACACGACTTCACAACTAACAACAACAAACATGCATTATCTAATGCTTATAAAAATATTACCAG